ATTGAGTCTTTAGTGCAGACAGCTTATAGAGCCATGTAAAGTGAGCACTGCTCTCTGAAAAACAAGGAGATAGAACTTGAATTGTTAATGTGCGTAGTACCTGTATTTTGGGGTGAGGTGTCTCCTCTTAAACTAACCACCGTTCCTCTACCGGATATCCAATTCATGTGTATTACTGGAGAAAACTGCTGCTGCTAGACGAATTTCTGGGCAGCAGTATTCTTTCTGGATATTAGATCAAATTAAAATAGGAATTAGAAGACCTAAGAATTTATTTTAATACAAATTAAAATACTTATCAAATAGGAATATAAAGTAGGAGACCTAAGATTTTATTTTAACCGCTACCTATAATCCATTTGATACATGTATGAAAAAGATCATTTTATTCTTTTAAATGTTCATCAAATATCTGTGTGGTACAAAATTCTCATCTACAAATCTCTTTGCAGAAATGATAGAAGGATACTTTGTATGAGTTTCATGAAGATTCTTTGTAATTAGACAAGTGTTATATATTTGATTCAGGTTAAACCTTTGCATCCTTTATGTAATAGTCATGTTTGAACTTGCTTTGAAAACATGAAAGTAATGGCAAGTGTTTTTTCTGATTTGAGTAAAAGCAACTCAAAATCTGTTATGAGCTCTGTGGATAAAATTTTCTCTTTAGACACAAAATCTAGTTTAAGTGTTTTCTGCTTCCCTAAAATTTTACGTGTTGGTTATTTTATTGTTGTCTGGGAGTATGAGACAAGAAACACTTTTGAAAATATTTTACCTTATAAGGGATTTTGATGCCCTTAAGTAATAATTTCTTATTCGAATTCTTTTAGTCATTAAAACTACCCAGGAATTTGTCCTCAGGGCCTGTTATGCAGCTGTGGTAACCTGGGGTGTGTGTGTGTGTGTGTGTGTGTGTGTGTGTGTGTGTGTGTGTGTGTCTTTCATTTAAAAAAAAAATAGAGACAAAAGGGATCTTAATGTTTCTGATGATCTGAAGAAAATTTCTTACCTCCAGACCTAAACACTGAAATTTCTTCTGCATCAGCAAAGTTGTATGTAGCTTTATCCACATAGAAACTTCTTTTAAATTCAATTCTCTTTTAAACCTGTAAAATCCCATAAATCATGAAAAAAAAAAAAATCCTTAAAATAGAAGATGATCAGTTGTATAGCAAATGTAGTATTGTAAATTATTCTATCTCATAATCCCCCAACCAGATTAATTAACAGTAAGATACTTGTCTTGGGGGGAAGAGACCCACCTACTCTTTCAATACTCTTTTGTTATAGCTCAATTACTGAGGGAGTTTACACTTTGAATTTAATCAGCAGTGTTTGCTCTATGCTGCACTACAGAATGAAATACCCGAGTTTCTCATTATGAATGATGATGACTTTTTGTCACATAAGACCTAAAATGGTTACTTTTCTTATTTATTTATTTTTGCTTTCTCCCTGAAAAAAAAAAAAAAAAAAAAAAACTGTAAAGAACAGAGAAAAAAGTAAGAATGTAAAAACATTGGGAATTATATGAAGCTTGATTGCCCTTACATTCAAAATGCTAGAATTAAATTTTTAATTAAATTGTTTTTTCTTGAGAAACCACAAAAGAAAGAAACCATTCGTGTGTTATCAGGGAAAATTTAGACATAGTAATATTAGTTACAAAAAAAATTGTTTTGCAAACTTAAAAATACAATTTTATCTTCACAATATATGGTGAATTCTACTCCCTATTTTTAACATTTGATTTCAAACCATCAAGTTTTATATCAGGAGTCAAACTGTTTAATTGGCATAAAAGCTCAAATTGTTCAATTTGGCATAGCTACTATTTCATTTTAGAAACTGCCACGTAAATAGCCCTTCCTTCTCCAAGATTACCAATATTTGATCTATATTTACACAAGTAAACTAAAGAAAGAGATCATTCACAAAATTATACACTTGCATTCTGTTTCAAAGTAATAAAATATTCCAAAGCAAACAGGCAACAGCCTCCATACTCACAAATGGAAGATAAACCCTCCTTCCATACAAATCAAAGATCTACGTTAATGAGAGTCATTGGATAAAAAATGTATTTCCCTACATGACTGCAAGGGAAAACATTAAAATATGTGGAAGAGGTCAGGATTTAGCTTTAGAAAAACCTAAATGAAAACTTTTAAAATAAAATTGTGTTGTTGTGATTTGTGAGGTATTTGCTTCTATTTTATATATACTTAAATCAGCTGTATGTGATAATTTCTCAGGAAAACAAAAATGTAGAGTATAAAAACATTAGACAGTCTAGTATTATCATATGAACTGTTTTCTGATAATATCCAAATTAGTGAATTGGCTACCTTTAAAAGAAAGCCACAAGTTTCAAAGTTTTATCAGCCTACATGTGGATACAGCAAAATACTTTAAAAATGATATAAGCTGAAAATGATTGAACTAAACATATGGACTATATAATACAGAGTGTTTTCTCCTTTGTGTCAGATTTTGGCATAAATATAATGTGTTTTCTAAAGGATGATATGCGTTTATTTGTGAAATGTAAGTTGAAAAATTTGCATGAATGTCATAAACTACTATATGTTATAGATACTATATATTAAGAATAATCCTTCAGCAAAATTGGGTAAGGCAAATATAAGCTGTAGCCAAAAAAAGAAAATACAAGAAACATTACCAATATAATTATTACATATTATATACTGAAGAAAATAAAAAATTAAATAATCTTATTGCTATATATTTAATATGTGGACAGAACCCTTCTACTTAAATATTTTCAGTGAGCATGCAACTTTAATATACTATGTGAGTAGAATCAAACCCAGACCCAAAACCCAATCACTCTTTTGCCTTGACTGTTTTCCCAGTAAAAGAAAGGAATGAAAACAATACTTTAGAACTTGTATCCAAAAAGTACTGTAATTTGGAAATGAATAACAGACTTGCAATACTACTTTCAGATTTTAAAGTTGCATTTCCCCAGTAGGACAACAAATTCTGTGTAGAAGGTGGATTGTTGACAATAGTCAGCTTCGGGGCATCCAAAAATTGCATGTGATCAAAGAACAATACGAAGCTATGTCTACTTAACTCGGCATCCTACTGGTGTGAAAACTGAAGTGGGAAGGAGACAGTGGAGGCTCCTAATTGATTTCTAGAATCTAGAGAATTAAAAAGGTTGGTATTCAGAGTATTCAGAAATATGTACACCATATCCTAAACCAGTGAAAGAAATAAGCCTGGGCAATACTAGCGCAAGGTTTTTGTTTGTTTTGTTTTGTTTTTAATGGGGTGAAAACAGTAACTTCTATATTTGAAAAGAAATTAATCATTCCAGAATCATACATGCTTGGGTATTATAATGGATTATTTGCCTTGTTCATTTGGGAAAGTCCCTATCAATAACAGGTGTGGCTCAACCACATCGCATTGAAAGGCTAGATTGTTCCATTAATAAAGAAAAGAAGCAGCTAGAACTGTAAATCAACAGGGACTCCTAGGGAGTTATATATTAAGCAGTAATTAAATAATAGTTCATGTTGCTTTCTTTCACTGGGAATTACATCCTTTTCACCCCCTCTCTGCTAAAGCAGAGACATCCATTACGATGAGTAGCTTCAACACTTGTCAGATCTAATCAACTCCAAACAGCTGAAGGCCAACTGACGTGTACTCTCTTAAAGCAGGGCTGCTTCTCCCCCGAAAGCCCACTGTCCTTTCACGTGCATGCAACAGTCAAAAGGGATCACATCACCTAATGAAGAAAAACAGAAGCATATGGTTGGAAGGGGCCTCAGCAGGAGATGGCTGAAATGCCAAGGCTTGCACATAAACAAAATATATGCAAAAATGTGTGCTCATAGAACCTGTCAGCCACAGCTTCAGGAAATAATAAGCCTGCAAAGGAAGATAGAGTTGTACTGTGACCACAGTTACCTAGGAGTCTGTATTTTTAGTTTAAATTTTTATTACTCTATAAAGTGGTGCACCAGAGCAGGCTAGTCCCAGGTAGTTAATTATGCATAAGCAGTTGCAAAGTTCGATTTTGCTGTATAATATTGAGCCACATATTCTTCACAGTATATTTTGCTCATATCTACTGCAGACTTCCACATGACAGCTGAATTGCAAACTGTAAGTGACTTCATCGCTGCCTTCCTTTTTGCACCCCATCGCTATGCAGAGTGACTGTTGAACTAAGTTCGTGAATGAACCCTGTCTTTGTAACTGGAACATAAGGGTTCATCTTTCCAGAGGTGTACTAATTAATATTTTAGAGGTGGATTGGGCACATTCACTCTTATTGTTTCTTTCAAATTTGCCTCTGTGCAAAATTAGTGGTCTTTATCAAAGCCCTTTCTTCCAGTAATGGCTCTGATCATGAGAATATGGCTGTCCTGATCCACAGAATCTTTATTATTTGTTAGTGAACATGCACATTATCCCCACTTTTGACTTGTCAGCTTTTATGTTGGGACAACCTTAGTGTTATCATTTTGTATAATCAGTTTGACTGGAACCTTCAAACTTGTATGTCCCTTTGCTGTGAACATTTTAATATTTTGTAATTATATTGTTAGAATTGGGAGATTTGTAATGACAGAACCTGAAAATGAACCCTGTGTGATTTCTAAAATATGACTACAAGCATTTTACATGCCAATGTTGACAACAGACAAAACAAGCTATTGTTCTAAAAAACGAAAGTGACACGGGCTCTCCTGTGGATGACTGCAGTTATGAAAAAAATATTATCTTCAAGTTGAATAAAAATGCTTTCATTTGAGTTTTAAGCTAGAATTGCATAAATAAGATCTTTGTTCCACTTAAATATTTTGCATTTTATATGAGGAATAATCATATTTCTAACATTATATTAGAAACAGTTTTTTTAACCTCTAACCATCTGTTCTCAATGGCACCATTTTAACCTAAGAAAGTAAACATATTTATATATTCATTTATTTTATTTAGGGGATAATATGAAAATGAGTTATCTACTTTTAATTCTTAAAAAGAATTCTGTGTTGAAAAGGTACCTGAAATTATGGGACTGTCTTTGCAATTTAGCATCTGTTTGAAATTAGGAATGCAGTTAGTTATACAACAAAAAAATTGGTGCAATGAAGTTTGGTTTCTCAATGCCTCAACTGCTTTATATACATTTATTGATCTGTTTGCTTCATTGAACAAGTGTAAATGAATAAATGGCATTTGTGAGCAATTTTCTTTTCTTTGGAAGTGATATGAAGACACTTTGCTAGGCATTAGCAAAATCAGAACCGTAGGGCTTCTGTACTAATCTCTACTTTGAACTAGCCCTTCCTGATGGATATTCTTACTGTTGACAGCTACATGGGGTAAAAAACACCTTCATGGATCATTTTTTAAAGACTTATTTTGTTCTTTCTCTCTTGTCATTTCATCCCAAAATTTCCATTTTGAGTACCTGAAGAAATCAGAAAATACAACTCGGGAATTTGCATCCTAGTGAAACAGAGACTCCAAAACTAACACTGACTGAATCAAAATGATGGCAGAGTTCAAACAGGTGGCTAGTTATTGGAGTCTGTTCAGGAACAACTAACTGAACCTCAATCCCAGTAAGTGTGGCCATGCCTCCCCATACGTTTTCTTCTCTATGGACAGGTATAAAGAATTGGATTGAGATGTTTCTCAGAATCACTTTTTCTTTTGGCTATGATTTTTTAGGTGGATCTGAAACAACTCTGCTTGGCCCAGGATTGTCCCAAATGTCCTTTTAGCTACTTTATTACAGGCAATGGGAGAGTCAGAGAGAGCAACTTCAGGCAAAATGTTGACTCCTCGTGATGTGCCTTTGATTCCAGTGCAAAGGTGCTCTCAGCATTCTGTTACGCCCTTGATTCATCTCTTAATGCTCAGTGTGTTAGCAAAAGCTTGGCCCTGAAGTGCTTTTTTTTTTTTTTTTTTTTTTTTCCTGAAGTACAGTCTTTCAGACACTTCTGGCAATTTGGTTTTAAAATGTGAAATAAAGAGACTAGGTCCTTAGTGCCTGGGGGAAAAGCTCTACTACACAATTGCTAGAATAATTCAGAAAAGAAAAAAAAAGATAAAATTTGCCTGAATACTGTGGTCATTATGTATTCTGGTTGGAAAAGACCTTACTTGGCAAATATTTTGCAAGATAAAATAAATATTTCTGCGCAGTCTCTAGGATAGTTTTGAGTGGTTGCTTATTTTCTCCTCTAACCCTTTGAAAAAGTCTCCAAGAATAAAGTAAAGCAGATATCTAATATCTTAACACAATAAAAAGCAAGCAACACTATTGCATATCATGTTGACAAATATAATCAATTTCTTAAAACTTTCATTATTAGCCTCTTAGAGCATTTAAAAATTATTCTCAGTTATCATGATCATGTGCAATTTGTAACAAATAATATAATTCATACTTTACAAGACAAAATATTTGAAAGAACTGACAAAATTTTATACAGAAAAATATGGTCCTGAGAATTTTGAATTAAGTATAATAATTCCTGTTTCATAAACATGCAGTTCTTCCTTTTTAGTTATAAGTATTTACATTTAAAGAAGTGTGGTTGGTGTTATAAAATATTTTACATGTTAAATGTATATTGAGAACAAAGATAGAATGATTTTAAGGAGTAAATTATTTAAATATAAACTTACATTTTCAACCTCATCAGAGGTAATGTGAGTGCAAATTAAACCCATCTTTTTTCTTATATTACTAAGATTGTACTATATCCTGTGGAATTTGCAAACACTGAATATTTTCATATCTTATTTGATCTCGTGAAAATGAAAAGACTACTAATATCTAACTAGAGGCAAGTGGCAGAATCCAGATGAACATATTTCATTGATTCCACAAAATTAAGGACTTTTCTATTGGCCAAGAAATGATGTCTCATCTTTAACTGTTGGCAGAAATCATTTCTCTTCTCAAAATTATACTCTACCGAAGGCAACTCTTAACATGGTGTTCCAGTGCAGACACTTATCTTAGAACATAGAGAGACACATTGGATCTGTGAATGGAATCTTTTTCACATGGAAAAATCGCAACCCTTAGAGGGTTTTTACTTTTTGTTTGTTTTACTTTTATTTTAAGTTATAAATGAAATAATGGGGAAAAAAGCAAAGCATATAGAAGAGGTGGAAAATATAAAACAGTATGCCTGTAGGAGAATAGCAGAACTGAGTAAATTAGAAATTGAATAAGCACATTGATGATGTTTGGTATGAATGGATTGTTGAAGCACCTCCAATAATATCCATTTGACTTCTGGAACATTTAGACCTTTCTTTGAATTATTTTTAAGCAGGACAAAGAAAAAATAGCTACTGATAGCCCTCTCTTGCCTTCCCTAGTCCCTTTGATATTCCTAGATGCTAACCAAGCTTACTTTTAAATATCGTGTTTTACTAACATCAGTGCACCCTGCTGCTCCCTAATGAGTTATTTATTTTAGTGTTGAAAGTTTGTGTAAAGGCTTTAATGTCTAAAGTATGAAAATACAAAATGCAACTGAACCTGTGGATCAGATCCCACTAAGCAAAAAGAGGAAACCAAATAATATGTATCCTTTAAGAACATGTTGTTTGAATACAAAATCAGAACAAACATTATTATTTGATTCATGGAGTCATTCGATACATTTTTATATGAAAGTGCAGAAGCTGAATGTATAAATGTGTTCAAGTACAAAGACGCAAAGATCATGTGGTATCAGAAACAGTATGAGACATGGGATTTTACTTTGCATTTTAGCAGCAGTGTCAAAACATTTAGGGCTTCATGTATTTTTAAACGTAGGTGTTTTAACAGTGACAAATTTGCAAAGCTCTAAATATTAGCTCCTGAAGGTTATGCTTTTTATATTCGCTAATAGCATATATTATTTGACTAATTGACGGGTATTTCAGTTAAGAGAGCCAAAGTTAAACATTGTTTTGATAGAGTAGCTCCAAGGATTGACAGTTTGGCACTGCCTTTCAAAGGCTTGGCATGTAGCTTTCAAAACAAACAAAATCACCCACATAATCAATAATGCTGTAATAATAATAAGAAGAAATGGCCCTAGTACAATTAATTTTCTATGTGAATTGTGGTTTCACACCCCCTACTCATTGTCTTTGACAGGTAAATGGTTGAAGACAGAAGACTTACAGATTTTATATCCAGCCCATGAGGATTTTGACTGATTCCATTGAGCAGGCTCAGGTCAGCTAAGTCCTTTCCTTCAAAGCATCATGGGTGTCTCCGAGCATCATTGCAAGCTTGTCCTGGCAGTAAGCCAGGCTTCAAAAGCCTTTCACTGCAGTCACTGACTCACTAATGGGCAACTGCAGGCTTTCCGATTTTCCTTTCGTTTCATGTGTTCATTTGACATAAATTTAATTAAACCAAATCTGGTGTTAAAGCAAGACGAGATAAAAGTGATATGTTTCAAATTAAAGAACTGTGAAAGATACAGGAAATAGAATTATGCTTTTTTAAAAAAATCTGTTTCTGTAAAATATTGTCAGTTTTTGTAAGCTCATGACTTAAAGTTGGCCAAAAAAAAAAAAAAAAAAAAAAGGATACCGGTATGCATTATTAAGAATAATGTGTATCCAGGGTTAGATGAAGGTCTTGGCCCTATATTCTCTGTAGTAAAACCTTTCATAGAATTCTTATTTTTTCTTTCATTCTCACACTTCAGGTAGTCACCTCTTCACAGGATATAAGACAAGTCTGCCCTTCTGCTGGCTACATAGCTATAGTTGTTAGACAGCTCAAAAGCATACAACAGCAGAAACATGAAAAGATCATATATTAAATATAAAAAATCATCATTTTTCAAAGATCTCTTTTGGTTTTTACTTAAGGCTAAAGAAGAGATTGTGAGAGTGAAAAAGATCATGTTGCTTAAAAAGCTCCATTTAATTGCTTTGAATGTTGCTTTAGGAAACATCCAAGTTTCTCCTTCTTTTAAAAATCTCTTTTTGCCCATTAAAAGAAATCTTGGACTAGAAATACACTACATGAACTAAAAGCAGTTTTGCAATCTTCTTCAAGAATGCTCAGACTGATCCTCTTCCTTTCTGCAGCTGAAATGCTGCCACTTCCTAGGACCACACTCTAAGTCGCTGGATGTAAAATGATTACTCTGAGCACATACACACCATCCAGCAAGTGATTGCAGTGTTCCTGTGGATAAGAATCAGAAAAACCAAAAGAACTGAGCTGGCAAGTTATGCAGTAGAAGGGAGATTCCTCGGAGCATGAAGCAACGTGTGGCACATTGACCCTCTACCTTTCTTGCACCCCAACTTTTGATGGCCAACTTCTTCCCTTGCAAACAGAACTCAGGTGCCTTCTTCATACTCCCCTGACTTGATTCTACTTTCTGTAGAATCCATTAGGGCTTAAACTCTCAGGGTTTACAATAATCAAATGCATCTGTGACTTCTCTCATTTAACAGGTGAAAAACTGAAGGGCCAAGACAAATTCAGTGACTTGTCCAGGATCACACAACCAGTCATTAGCTCCGCTGAGAAGAAAATACACATCTCTGGATCCCCAGATGAGTGTTTCGTTTTTGTTCTTTAGCACTTCGAGTGCTTCCGTACAACATACCATTTGTATTCTTTGAAACAAACTCTTCAGGTATTTCCAGGTGTTTTTCACGTGTCTGACCTGAGAGAAAGTATACCTAATGGTATAAGTAGATTTAAAATCTATTTAAAATTCTCAGTTTCTAATGCTGTTCTTCCTTTAGTAACTACTTCAAAATGTTAATTGTCTGTCAGTCCTTTGGTTGGGGAATTGCTTATGGGACCACCTAGAGGTTATGATAGGGAGAAGACATTACACATGAAAGCCATCCTACAGCCTGATATTACAGAATGAGCCAACATTTCGCCAGCATCCGCTCAGAGTGATAGCCCTGAATACAATGGCTATTTAATGTTCCTTAAGAAATTTCACTTGAAATGTTACTCCAAATCCAAATTATCATCAGAATGGAAAAGATAGAGATTGCTATATTTCCTGTTAGACATAAAGCCTTAAATAAACTTTCTGATTCTTTTATGCATGAACCTAAATTTACTTACAGAGTTATTATGTACTTTATATACCTAATTATCTGTTTATCTGTATACACATTTCTAATATAGACTCAGGTTTTAATGAAGACTGGTTTAAAATGCTTAATGAGGCTTTGTCAAGGTTCACATTGATAGCCTGTGTTAACATGACTTTATCAGTGTTTGTTCAATCTACTAAGTTTATTTATTCAGCAAATATTTATCAAAAAAGAACTCTATGCAATTCACTGCATACACACAGAAAAATGCTGAGCCAACCACTGAGCACTTAATAACCACTCTACATAGCAAAGATGCCATGCATTTCTTCAGGTACATATTATGCCTTTGAGTAATTTTACAATGTTAAACTTGACATAATATCAATTTTTCATAATATTTAAATTCTAGAATTCTTTAAATATTTTATTTTAGTAAAGGTGGAATTGCTGGTGACAGACCTCAAAGGTAAAAGTTTTATAAGATATTAGATGCTCTAACCATACTACGTAATTGAGTTGATTGATCAGTATGTAATTTAGAATGTTTATAAAGCTTGCCACTCTGAACCTCTAATAGGTAAATAAACAATTTAAAATCACAAATATGTGTAAAGTCCTTCAGCGTTTACCATAGTTGCAAAAATAAAACGTCACTTTATTTTAGAGACAAGATCTCACTATGTTGCCCAGGATGGAGTGCAGTGGCTAGTTACAGACATGATTGTAGTGTGATACAGTCTTGAATTTGGGCTCAAGTGATCCTCCTGCCTCAGCCTCCCAAGTAGGTGGGACTACAGGTGCATGCCACTGCGTCCAGCTAAATGTCAGTTATATGTAGTAATACGATGACAATACAAACATTTTCATTCCTTAATTTGTTGCAAATCTGTAGAATTAAACATTTTTGTTTACAAAACTAGAATACGATTTTAAAATATCACGCTTAATTACCACTTCCATTTTAGGAAAAAAATAAAAATAAAATATTATGCAGTCTTCCTGTTTTTAGAAAAGCAGGTAAAACATAACTTTGCATTAGTAACAAGCACATGAATCTTTGTTACAGAACAGAATCTTCCTAAAGCAGAATGACTCCCAAGGGACAGGGAATCCTGAGTGTGTTTTCCAGGAAATATTTTTCTCAAGTTTCTCAACAGTAATAAAAGACTTCTGACAAACTGGTGTCAAAGATTTCTTTGAGCAAATATGAGAAACTGTCAGCTTACCCCTTCTTAATGGCAGTAAGAAGCAAATTATTCATAAAAACTGATGTGTGAAAAAATTAGAGTTCAGAGAAACAAGTAAGAATTTCTAAAGTAATCTTTAGAAATCAGGTTTTTAGAATATTCCCTCTGATATTTAAGCATATGACAGGGTAGGAAGTATCTCCAATAGTTAGCATTAGGTTTAATGTCCAAGAAACTGTCATTAGGTAACTAGTTTTTGAAAATAATTGAGAAGTGTAGCCTGAGGCTTGGCAGAGTCTATCCCTCTGTTGTTAAGAGTTTAGATAATATCTAAGGCTTGGTGCTCACATCTTTAACTTACTCAGAGTGAGATTATGGTGGAGAATACTCAATACAGAACATTAAAGGAAAAGTAATTTTTTTAGAACAACCATTGTTCGGTAAATATGGGTGAGTGATGGTCTTTATAAGCCTCTCTGGCCTCCCACACTTGTATCTTATTTGGTATCATATTAGATAAAATCAACCCTTTCCACAGCATATCTTCCGGGTCATGCAGCCTAAGACTTCCTTCTTCTCTACTCCTACACCTCCTTTTTCTCCTCCTTCTTTTAAGAAAACCACAGTAATAATAAAAAAGAGTTTATGCTTGCCATATTATTGTCCACATATATTTTATTTTATTTTATTTTTTCTTTTCTGATTGACAGAGTCTTTGGCAAGGAATATCTTTGTCAAACAAAACTTTACTAATCTACATTATATTCTAAAGTAGAAACTGTTAAGAGGAAATATGAAAATAACTCTAAGGCCTAAATGTTGTAGAGTAAGAGTTAGCAAATAAACTAAATATAGTTAATATTTTAGGTTTGCAGGTGATACAGTCTTGGTCACAACTGCTCAGTTCTGTTGTTGTAGAACTTACGCTGTCTTTAATAATATTTAGATATTTTGCTTATAACTTCTTTTGAATTAATTTTAATTTTTAACATATTGCATTAGATATGATTTATCTTCATGACTGAACTTTTTGCACCCCTCCCCACCCTTAGGTTCTGTGCCTGAGGTGAGTACCTAAATTGCCTTAGCCTAGTTTCAGCCCTGTGTAGCACAAAAACAGTCACAGACAATACATAAATTGATCAGCATGCCTGTATTTCAAAAAATTATAACACTGAAATTTAAATTTCATATTATTTTCACATGGCATGAAATATTATTCTCTTTTCAATTTTCAGTATTTAACATCATAAAAATCATTCTTAGCTCACTGGTCAAAAGTTAGAGGCCATTAGGTCATAGTTGGTGGAGCTTTATAGAAATTCAGGTCTGTTTTACTTTGTAAAAGATTACTCTGCAAAAGTTGCATTCACATTTAAAAGGCTATAAAACGACAATAGTTGTCTTAGGGGAATGAAATTATGGGCAACTATTTCCTCTGTACTGTGGTTATGTTGCTTTCATAATTACAACTACTCATAATATTAATTGATGGCTTATTTTATAATAGCTTGAATAACTTCTGTTAGATTGCATCAGAATCACAAAACTATGTGAGTTCATTTTTTAATTGATTTTCAGTGAGCAGTTATTCTTAACGGAAGATTTCAAACTAACCATTACTTATCCCTTAAGTCAAGTTGTTTATGATCTATGGACAAGAGGAGACATTTCCAAGGCACTTGAGATCATAATTCATTGTCATTAAATGTTAAATGGTAAATAAAAATACCATTTATAAATCTACCATTTAAAAATTCAAATCCTTGAGTATTTAAAAAATGAGTATAGCCACACTGTAAACATATACTATCCATCTCCTTAATAGGATAAGTATTCTAAAGAAAGGTCGTAAGGTGTAATGGAAAAACAAACAAAAAATCCCTATAGATTTGGAGGTCATAGATAATCTGGGTCTTTACCACGAATCTGCTTCTTGAATGGGTGACAGATAACTAGCATTTGTTTTCTGTTATTCGATTCTAGGAAAAGAAGAGGATTTTCTCGTCATTACTTGGGTGCAGTGAGGAGCTAAATTTATGGAATCAGAGTCAAATTTGAAATAAATCTGTCCATGAAAAAGTCATAAAAGTTGTTTCAGACCTCTAGCGTCAGTTGTTCCATGTGGCAATCAAATAGCCTGTGTGGGGCTGAATGTTTAATTTACTACACTCTCTCTAATAACTTTTCTTATCCAATAATGTATTTCATATTGTAAACTGCTTACATCCCATCATAAGTTTGCTTCACAAATTGTGAGTTTAGCTTTATAAGTGCATATAAAGTTATGCATGGCCTAAGTGATACTATAAATAAATAAAACATAAAAGATACTGCCTATCTGGCTGCAGAAGTAAACTACCACCAGATTTCAGCCCAGTTGGCACAAGAATAATGCTTTGGAGCAATTCAAGTCTGAAACAGCTTCAGTGATACCATTTAAACTTGAGGTATATTGGCAGAGCAAGGATATGACTAAACTAAATTTGGCTTAAGCCACCTATTACTCATACCCTCTTTCTACTGCATTCACACTTCAATTAACAAACTGTATATGATACACACACATATATTTATAGTTTATATTTTTCCTGTGTTGGCAATGAAACTTTTTAAATTACCTTCTGTAAGCTGTGAGAATCTTCTATTTGAATCTATTTGACAAGATAAGACTTAGCTTCAAAAGTGTTGGGTACATGGGTTTTTCCTGTTCATCTTAAAAAAAGAGTTAACATTTGTGCACTTTAACTTACCTCATTACCACTCCTCACTCCTCTTGCTAAGTGGGATATGATCATCACATCCTTTTTGTGATAACTAACACTTACTCAGAAGGAGGCTCTATGTCAAGCATTTTGTATGCGCTACTATTATTTTCAATAGTGTGATAGGTACACTGAGATTTCAAAGTTAGAAAACTCCACCCAAGTTACAAGGTCAGTATCTCCTTTAGTCAAGGCATCATTCTCTAATCTTTTAAAGGTCAAGTTTATTGAAGTATGACTTACATGAGGAGGCACCATTTTCTATGAGTTTTGACAAATATTCTAAGTGTGTAACCACCACCACAGTCAACAGAAAAATATTTTCATGACTCTTTATGGTCAATCCACTTTCCCAACCTGGCTGGCTGCTACTGACATTACTGTCATTATATGTTTGTCTTTACTAAAATGTCATAAAATTGTAATCACACAGTATGTGGTCTTTTGTGTAAACTTCTTTTCTTAGCATGCTATTTTAAGATGTAGCTGCATTTTTACATGTTAATTCCTCTTTAGTGATAAATTGTATTACACTGAATGGAAGTACTTTGTTTATTCATTCACTAGTTAACAGGCATTTGTGTTGTGTCCAGTTTTTAACAGTTATGAATAAAATCACTATAATCATTCATGTATATATATTTGTATGGGCATGTATTTTCATTTATCTGGGTAAATACATAGCGGGTCATAAATATATTTGTTTGTATGTTTCACTTAAGCAGAAACTACCAGACTGTTTTCCAAAGGGACTACTTTTTTTTGCATTCCCATAGGCAATGTCTGAGATTTCCAGTCGCTCTACATCCTCATGAGCTATTTTAAGCTTTGTGTAGTGGAATTTTATTGTAATTTCTATTTCCCCAGTCAATAACGATGTTGAGCATCGTTTTGTGTTGCCTGTCTGTCATTTGGCTT